TGGTACATGTATGTAAACGTAAAGACTTCCGGTTGACGTCTCTACCGTTATATGTAGGTGAACGTAAAGATTTCCGGTCGACGTCTCTACCGACACGTAATAGTGAACGGAAAAACTTTCGGTCGACATTTCTACCTGCACGTTTAGATGACAGCAAAGCTTTCGTGTTTACGTCTCTACCTGTACGTTTAGGTGAAAGTCAAGATTTCCGGATGAAGTCTCTACCTGTACGTGTAGGTGAACGTAAATATTTCCGGTCGACGTCTCTACCGGTACATGTAGGTGAACGTAAAGATTTCTGGTCGACGTCTTTACCTGTACATGTAGATGAACGTAATTATTTCCGGTCGACGTCTCTATCTGTACGCGTAGGTGAACATAAAGATTTCCGGTTGACGTCTCTACCGGTACATGTAGGTGAACGTAAAGATTTCTTGTCGACGTCTTTACCGGTACATGTAGGTGAACGTAAAGATTTCTGGTTGACGTCTCTACCGGTACGTGTAGGTGAACGTAAAGATTTCCGGTGGAAGTCTCTACCGGTACGTGTAGGTAAACGTAAAGATTTCCGGTTGACGTCTCTACCGGTACATGTAGGTGAACGTAAAGATTTCCGGTTGACGTCTCTACCGGTACATGTAGATAAACGTAAAGATTTCCGGTTGACGTCTTTACCTGTACGTGTAGGTAAACGTAAAGATTTCCGGTTGACGTCTATACCTGTACGTGTAGGCGAACGTAAAGATTTCCGGTCGACGTCTCTACCGTTATATGTAGGTGAACGTAAAGATTTCCGGTTGACGTCTTTACCTGTACGTGTAGGTAAACGTAAAGATTTCCGGTTGACGTCTCTACCGGTACATGTAGGTGAACGTAAAGATTTCCGGTCGATATCTCTACCGTAACATGTAGGTGAACGTAAAGATTTCCGGTAGACGTCTCTACCGTTATATTTAGGTGAACGTAAAAATTTCCGGTCAACGTCTCTATCGGTACATGTAGGTGAACGTAAAGATTTCCGGTTGACGTCTCTACCGGTACATGTAGGTGAACGTAAATTTTTCCGGTTGACGTCTCTACCTGTACTTGTATGTGAACGTACAGATTTCCGGTTGACGTCTCTATCGTTATATGTAGGTGAACGTATAGATTTCCGGTCGACGTCTCTACCGGTACATGTAGGTGAATGTAAAGATTTCCGGTCGACGTCTCTACCTGTACGTCTAGGTGGACGTAAAGATTTCCGGACGACGTTTATACCGGTACATGTAGGTGAACGTAAATATTTCCGGTTGACGTCTCTACCTGTACTTGTATGTGAACGTAAAGATTTCCGGTTGACGTCTCTACCGTTAGGTGTAGGTGAACGTAACGATTTCCGGTCGACGTCTCTACCTGTACATGTAGGTAAACGTAAAGATTTCCGGTCGACGTCTCTACCTGTACATGTAGGTAAACGTAAAAATGTCAAATCGACGTCTCTACCTGTACCCGTTATATATAGGTGATCGTAATGACTTACGGTCGACATTTCTACCTGTACGTTTAGGTGAAAGTAAAGCTTTCGTCTTTACGTATTTACCTTTGCGTTTGGGTGAACTTAAAGATTTCCGAATGACATTTTTAATTATACGTTTATGTATTTCTCAGGATTCTGATCGACGTCTTTGCTGGTTCGTTTAGATGAACAACAGTGGAAAAGTGTTGATTTTGTCGAAGAAGATTCATATCGTATGTTAATGTAGTTAAATGTTATATTTTTTCGAGGTATACAAATCTGGTAGTTGTTGAAGTAGATTCATCATGTACTTGTTGAAGGATATTAAGATTGTAATCATTGAAGTAGAATGATGTTGTTATTGTTGTGGAGATGATGATGAAAAGTGACATGAAGATGATGATAATAATGATGCGAATAATGACATGATGATGATGATTATAATGATGTGATGATGAGTGGCATTTGATGAATGATGATAAGTGTACATATAATTGTAAATGACGATGATAATTGTTGACAGTAATGATGATGATGATGATGATGAAGATTATATATATTATATAATTGTCAATCATGATGAATGGCATTTTTATCATCATATATGATGATGCTGATAATGATTTGTTGATTGTAAGATTTTATGTATGTAAAAAATAGATAAAAATTAAATAAATAAATGTTGTTATTGTTTAAGAAATTCAATAATATATCAATGTTGTGATTGTTGAGGTTCATCGTTGTTTTAATTTGTGAGGTAAAACAACGTTGATATTATTAAAGTAGGAAATGTGGTACTTAGGTTATTGTCGTATTTTGTCGATGTAGTCTCCAATGATCCTTGGACCGAAGCATTCGATCATGTTTTTGATTGTTTTAATGTGCACTCGTAAAACATGTAAATAATGAATTTGTAGATTGAGAAAAAAGAATATAATTTTGATAGCTTACATTAACTTTTTTAGTTGGCTGACGGTGTATAATATCTTTTCTGAGGGGGCTGTTTCATTTTACTAATAAAAGTATCAACCTGTATATCATTGAACTAGCTGATCACAAATGTTTCGAAGGACATGCATCATTTATCTTTGCTTTCAAAACAAGAACACGGATCATACAATCAAATATTAAAGAAAAAAATACTGGGTCTGAATCTCCAGATCTCTTGTCGTAGCATGTTTATATAATATCATATACATGGAAGAATTATTGTGTAATGCTGCGACAGTAGGCGCGTTCGTTAGCAATTAAGAGCGATTTTGATTGGTTTTTAGCTAATCTTACTTACTGTGGTGCTGAAGCTTAGATTCTTCAAGTGCTAATTTAATAAGTCAACTCATTAATGATACGCGAGAAACAAAATGTCGCCATAGGTCAAGCTTGCAATTGTTGCAATACTTTAGAGAACAAAACTCAAGAAATTTGCAAAATCGCTATTTCTTAATGTTCTTTCAAAATATGGATATATTTTAAGTGGAATATACTTTGGAAGATAAACTGTCTGTCCTGGATTAGGTAGATGTGAGTCAGCTGCTGTAACTGTGTGTTCTATACTTGTGGTTATTCCTTAGACGACAGATAAATGTCAGGCGACAAACTTGTGACTTAACGCTCTCAAGCTCTGGATAATAGCAAGTTTTACCTTCACCCAAGTAAGGATAAATCGCTATTCAGGGGACATATATCTTCTGTTGGTAACGTTAATCGCTTGAGCCCGCCAATACCAAAGGAATATATTTATTTGATTTTTACTGCAGATATCTTATACAAACAATTCCTAAACATATGTATTGAAGCGTTCGGCAGTCATTCAAAACCTATTATGAAGCTGTAGGTGTACTTCAGTCGATCAATCTTTACTATTTTATCTAAATTCATTAAGTAAATATACATATTGAAATTATATCAAATGCCAACAAGAGGCAATAACGATGCCAACTTTCTTACGTGAAATATATATATACATTAGATCACCTTGCAATATAAAAGTATTCATACTGAAAAGGTATACGTTTAAGCGATAGTTTTAGCGCCTTTTGAGCTGTCCTTTATGTTTGTGCTAATTAAAGCTGCTTTTGTATTTAGTTTTATATTGCACATATTGAAAGCGCCAATTCATCAATACGCTTATCTGTAAAAATGTGATACTACGCTAAAATAATTACTCTTGCAGTAATCTTAGTGAATTACGTAACCCCATAACAAAGTAAAGTGTTTGAACAGAACCTTGTTTAGGTTGTACGTGTTAAGGCTGCATGGGTAGGTCTAACCTTTCTTACTGTCTATAACGTATTTTACGTCTATAGGAATAAACAACATACCTCCTTGTTTCACCTTTATCTTCTACGTGCAGCTATTGTTTCAAAGAAAATAATCCTGAGGGACTATTTGACGCCTTACACAACCTGTTCTGTGAGGAAAACTGTCAGATCAATTAACTATTTAAATCCCTAAGAGGATGTGTATGTAGCGACTATAGACTGCTGTACACTACTGTTCAGTTATTCATGACTGCAAAGGAAAGTATGTGTATTTTTGGAACAGTTTGATGCGAATTGCATCTGATACCAGTACAACACTTACATTAAATATTCAGCCCCTTCGGCGATCACTGGTACGTTACGTCATCATGACTTTAGCTGAATGAAAAATCATTGCAATTCAAAGAGTATACCTGAACGATTTAAAACCTCTGGGAAACACACTCTGTCGGAATGCATGCGTAAATAAAGTTCGATATAACCAGAATATCACCCGAAAAAACGTTAAATCGTAAGTGAGGGATCTTTGTTGTTTTGTTTCAAAGAGATTGTTAATCAACATGAATCTTAAATAATCACACAGCACGAGTGTGTGTTCGGTACGTCAGTGGTGAACTGACATCCGGGCAATTCTCAAGTCAAATTATCTGTATCCGGGATCATCTGTGGGTAAAAAAAAATTGAAGCCTATCGTAAATATTTCGTTGGTAAATATTTAACAGGTCGCACCATTTATTTCCCTAAATTAAATACTATAGAACCGTTTCCTTAACCAACAACTACGCCTTCCTGCAAACACAACAGCATTCATCCTGCACAGTTACATACGCTGTGACTTCCTTAAATCAATTACATACGGCATGATTACCTTAAAAAAGGTTACCCAACAAAATTAGTAGTGATGTTAAGACTAAAAGCCAGAAAAATACATTTTCTTGCAAGAACAAATGTAATTCCCTAACAAGAACTATACTATGATTATTAGACAAAAACAAGTGCTATACCACTCTTAGAACTTGACAGTCTGTGAATACCGGCCAATAACATCTACGACTACACAAGAACAGCAATGATTCTCTTCCATTTAGCCCTACGGCTTACTAGTTAAATAATATGCACTTGTCAACCTGTTGGGTGCGCGACACTGAAGTTCAAAGTTGAAAAATATCTATTGATATTACCTTGCACGTGCCTGACCCCTGTGAGGGGTCACCATATAAAAAGGCGTACCCAAGCCTTGACACACGCTTTTTTGTCAGTCAGGGTGCGTGACAGACATTAAGCCAGAAGGGAAGGATATCTTGCGGGTCTCGCGTCCGCGATTTGCATTTGCTTGGTAAAAGTAACTGCAATTTGAAATTATTTTATTGATACCTTTCCTTCGCTCCGCGAATTTCATGTGTTTACATTTCGTTATCAGCTGTTTTGTGAAATTTGAGTTATGCGTCGTAAGCAGGCTCGCGGTAAACGGTTGCCTTTGTCAGTAACTTTCGATGCTGATAATTGTGATTCTGACAATGACCTCTCTCTCCATCCAGGAGAAACAGAGGCAGAGGGGTGTGACGATTTCTTTCCGGAACCCCTTCCGAATTTAAATTCGGGCCTAAGCGACTTTGTCGCTTGTGCAAGTGATAATGACTCTGCACAGCCGCAGTCACCGAACGTTGTTCGGAACGACAAACATAGCGGCGTCGGAGGCGATGCCTCGACTATTCTTTTGCCCCGTGGGGGTAGGAAACGTCCTGTCGGTACTGAGGCTGCCGCTGACAGCGAGTTTCAACTCATGACGAAAGGTATGAGGGCTCTGGAGGAGCAGTTAGCAGACGTTAAGCGTGACCGGGCGAGTTCCGGTACAGGAAACCGAACAACTGGTGGGTATGATATTCATCATATTGATAATGATTATGTTGTTGACAGTTTTGACTCAGATTTTTTGAGTATGACAGACCCGCTGGGTCTTCAAAATAAAGATCAATCTTCAGTTGATTTAGATGATATATACTCTGATATTTTACCCACAGAGGAAGGTCATATGGAGGATTTGTTTGCCATCCCTGACTATGTTTATGGTGACGTAAAGTTGGGCCCTAGTGTTCATGAGGGACTCGCCAAGCTTGTAAATACTGCTTGTAGGAAAACTTCGGACGTTTCTAAAATGGCAGAAAAGTACCCTATACCGGCAAATTGTGCCGACTTGACCGTCCCACGATGCAACCCTGAGATTTAGGGTAAACTTGGTAAGCCTTTACAGGCAAGAGATTTTCAGCTTAAAGAGGCCCAGAAATCTGTGTCTGACGACCTCCATGAAGTTGATTCCTAGTTCCTAGTTCCT